GCCCTATTGAAAGGTCAATTAGTTGGATGATAACATAATTATTAGAAGGTCACTGGGCCAACTTAATTGATTTCTGAAGAAATATGTGTATTTAAATATGTATTTAAATCAACAGGAGATGTACTGAGCTGGTGACAGAGTGTGCCTGGGTCAGTTCTGTTAAAACTAGGGCACCAGATGTAATAATTGAACATCTGTCAGTAAAACGAAGTGCAGTTGACCACAGGATCATGGTGCATAAACATCATACGTTGACTGGACAACACAAAAGCTGATAGCAAAAGAAAATAGCCTATATGTGTAGCCGTGGGCAGGCTGGCCTGGGGCTAAGGTTTATTAAAATAAGCCGCCTTCAAGCAGATGTCCTAATGGGTAAAAGACCAACCGATCATGGCAGACATGACACATTTATAATATTTGCCAGTGGTCAACTGATTAATCACTGAAGACTGGAAAGTGTCAGGAATTGATTAAGTGGGCTGCATACATGGAAAGGAGTCTAAGAAACTATGCCTCAGGGCAATTGCTAACTAGCTCAGAAAGCAGAGGTTGAGACAGAGCAGGCTGATTACCTATTTCAATCTGATCGTCCGACAAGTACTCCTAAATCAAGCGGCTTGCAATTGTAAACATTCTACAGAAAGCTTATGACGTATTGCTATTGTTGCAGTATTTTGCAGTGCATCTTGCTTCAATAAAGAACAATGCCCACTGTTAGGACTGCCTTGGGTTACTGATATCCAGACTAAACCCAACAGACAAAGCAAAGTAGGAATAAAAGCCTACAAGCACTTTTTTCTTACACTCTCTCCCCCTATGTCTCAAAGCATTCCCGATTTCTATTGCTGAGGTGGAGGAAGTCTGCTCTCTAGACAGGCCTGCTGACAGGGAAGGCTTAGGTGATTGTCTCTGGGGCGACTTGAGTCTAGATGGCCCAGGTCTGTTGACAGAGACCTGCTCAGATGCAGGATTGTCTTCCTCAGGTTGCACTTGATTACGCTTTGGTCGAGGGAAGAATGTGCTTATGTAGTGGAGCAAGTTTTTGAGAGTCTCAAGTGTGGTTCCTCCTTGCTATGGTCAACTACTGGCACCACACTATTTCCCTGAGAGGAAGGGGCTCCTGAAATGAGGTTGAGGTCTTCTATCCCCTTTCGCCTTGCCTCTGATGCTGAGCACCTATGGCTGGAGCAATGGAGTGCTAATCCATGCACATATCAGCAGATAATGAATATCCTGGATTTGGGTCTCCATGGCTATTACCAACCTGTCCATGGAGATAGCCAGAGGCATGCATGCCAAGTTCAGCACAGTAGTGGTAACCTTGGTAGACTTTCCCATCCTTCAATTCAGGTTGCCACATGCCTCTGACAAATCTACCTGTTCTTCTGCATCTGGAGTTTATGCATTTTGATAAAGTCACTATAGCTGAAATCATGGGATCATCTTCTGACTGGGGCTGAGTGAGTGCCAGCTCTCCAATTGTCCTGTGTATGTCAAAGATATGAACTAGCAGCAAATGTATCAGTGATTGCGCTCCCAAGTCTAATTGAGATACAGCACATAATTTCAAATGCTTCAAGCCAGCAATTGCCCCTCACTCCGTGGTGTTCCACCATTAAAACAGAGGTCATGGCCCAGAAAGGCAAATTACGTTCTCACTTTAAGGGCAGTGACCTAAAGGTGCTGGTGGGTGAATGGAAAAGAGGAGGGCAGATCTTTTACCTGTAGACCGCTGAAGAAGGCCATGCCACTGTACATTCCCAGCCTGACATATATAGTGGGTCACATCACTGCTGCACCCAGGTTAAAAGGAACGCACAGCAGCATTGCCAGAAGATGATCTTCTGTTCAATGCAAGATACGTTCTATTATCTTCTCCATGCTATCTCACAATCACAGTGCCACAGCACATTCAAACTCTGCCACTATTGTTCCAGCCAGACTCATCATATTTAATCCACCCTTTGTCTTATTGTAGAGACTCCTCAGTCTTAATTGGAGAAAATCCTAGAATTGGGAAGAGAACAATTTCTCATGTGGAGATGGGAAAAGCTCCTTGAACATTAGCATTAGCAGCACTCAACAAAGCTCCAACAGAAAGAGGCCAGCACCAGAGATGCTCAGATCCACCTCTACTTCTGAGGAAGAAGGCACCGAATCTTCAGAAGATGCACCAGCAAGGCTTTCACCTGAAAACTCCACGAACTCAGAGATTTCACCTTTGTATGTACTTTATCTAGAATATTCTTGGGAGTACGATCACAAGACACATGTTTGCAGCTGGTTGAGGAAGAAATTCCTCATGTCTTTGACACTCAGAGGCCTACTACAGAACTGACGCTTGCTCTGTCCCTACTTAGAAGATGATTCCACTATTTCAGCCATTAATAATTTTGTCAAAATGTACACACTCCAGTCGCAGAAGAACTGGTGGATTTGTCAGAGGCACGCGGCAACCTCAACTGAATGATGGCAAAGTCCACCAAGGCTACCACTACTGTGCTGAACCTGGCATGCATGCCTCTTTCTATCTCCAGCGACAGGTTGGTAACTGGTCCAGGATACTCTGTGCCTGCTTGGCTATGTGTATGGATCAGCACTCCATCGCTCTAGCCATACGTACTCAGTATCAGTGGCAAGGTAAAAGGGGGACAGTGGACCTCGATCTCATTCCAGGTGCCCCTTCCTCTCGGAGAAATAGGGTGCCAGCAGGTAGCTATAGCAAGGAGGAACCACACATAGGACCCCCAGAAGCTTGGACTCAGGATACTATATAGGCACTTCCTTCCTCCAGCCTATGAGGCTAAAGCCTAAAAAGAAAAGTCTGACCCGCGGAGGACAATCCTGCATCTGAGTAGAACACTGTCAACAGACCTGAGGCCCCTAAACCCAAGCAGCCCCAGGGACAACCACCCAAGCCTCCTCTATCAGCAGGGCAACCTAAAGAACAGGCTCCCTCCACCACAGCTGTGGAAGTCAGGAATGCATTCAGATTAGTGAAGGGGAGAGTGCAAGAGAAATTGCTTGTAGGTTTTTATTTCTACTTTCCTTTGGGTTTACTTTGTGTATCAATAACAGTGTATATCCAACTGCTCTTTATTGAAGCAAGATACTCTGCAAAGTACTGTAATAATATCAATACATCATATGCTTTCCACATAATGTCTTTAAATATGGCACCAACAGTGAAAACACTGAGATCCTCGTAAATGCATGCACTTCTACTTCTCTTACCATGTGATTCAATGAGAAGGGTATCAAAGACCCCAGATGTGTAATGAACAAGGTGAAGGGCAGAAAATTGTGTAAGTAAAGCGTTCTGAGCCACTGCAGACCAGATACAATCAATCTCACTCCACTGACGTTTTGCCTGAAAATGGGAAAATTCCACCCTTAGACTCTCGGAATTTCATAACAATGGGTAATAGGCTAATCACTCTCACCTTTCCTAAACAACAAAGTCGCGTGCACAGTAGTCCAATCAACAGGAACCATAGAGAATCAAAAGAACTTTGGAAGATTATAGCTCAAGCATCTGCCATTTTCTCAGCTACTTTTTTTAAAAACCAAGAAAAATTAACAGCTCCTGTGGATTTCTTACTGTTTAGTGGCATTATTTTCTTCAATGTTATTATTTTGTTGATGTTAATGTTGCTGAGGCCCTTACGCTGAGATTTAGTATTCATTACTTTGCCGACCCCTTCCTCTGGGTGACAAGAAATATCCCCTTCAAACCTGGCTTGTGACCCTGATGAGAAATCCAAAGACTGAAGGTCAAGATCAACATATTGCTCCCACATGTGTCATTGAGCAAGATGATATCCTGCTGAAGATACATGTCAGGTACCTAGATAAGTCAAGACAAATCCTTCTGCTAGAGTGTCCAGAATGATTGTGATGTGTTGCAATCTGCACAATATTGCACAGCAATGAGTTTAGAGACAGAAGTGGAATAAAGCAGACAACGCACACTGTCACTGAATAAATTTGAGATTGACATGATGGCGAATATGAACATGCCAGTCCAGCATTAGCTGCATGTTTCACGGTCCAGAATGCCAAGGATGTCTACTTATACAGATTCAATTAGTTACCAACACCAGGCTAATGGCAAAACTATGTGTACTGTCTATACTTCCCACGCTCCAATATCATTTATTCAAAGCAGTCTTGAAATTAGGCCTCTGATTGCTCCTTATCAATTCATACCTGCTTATTCATTATTAATCAACTGAAAAGGCAAGTTGCCAGGCAGCAACCAATGAATGACAAAGTATGCAAAACAATTCATTTTATGCAGTTCTACTAAAGTATAGCAATTTCAACATCACATATTTGTGGATTGCTGAATGAGATACAAGGCTTAACTCTGATGTACTTATGTAAGATATGATTTGTCTGATTAGCATGCACAACAATACCTTTCACTGTATCTTGGTACATGTGGCAATAATAAATCAAATCAAATCAATCTTCCTTTTCCTAAAGCTCTTATGTGTCACATAAACATTTGACAAGTTCAAGAAATCCGTAAGGTTACCAGTTGCACCTTTTAAACAACTGATGAAAGAGAAATTTTCAATCTAACATATGAAGAATTCTACTACTTAAATACATATTAGAAAATATGAAGCATGAAGAATACTTTTCAAATGAAGGTGCTTTCTTAAAATTAAACAGTTAGCTTGCTATATTTCAATCTGTTGTAAAAAGCTATTAAAGAACTGTCATATGTTATCAGGTATTTCTCAATATTTCTGATGTCAATTCAGAACCTGTAGTCAGGTTCAATGACTGTTCCAATATTCGTATATTGTGGACCTAATAATGTTATCACCATTTAGTTTTTAAATAAAAATCTTTAAACAAAATAAGTTAACCTAAATAAATCTTCTCAAGCCACTTAATTCTATTTAAGTAGGAACCAGATGCATGGACTCCCTGTATATTATGAGGTGATTCTGGTGCTTAAGTATAACGGGCTAAATGTTTCAACTCACCATCGTTCATAGTGAGGTACACAATGAATTCATATGAGCTGCTTTTATCCAGATAAATGACAGAAGGCAAAGAGTCATGGATATTTGCATCATAGTGCTTCCGGTAATCATATGCTTCCACGTAGAAACCACCTTTAGAGAGTTTGTTACTGGCCAGATAGAAGTAGTAATGCTTGAGTAGAAAAATAAAAACAAAGAAAAACAGAAGTTCCATTACATGAGATTTTTCTCTGTGAGTAGGAATGGCGAAAGTACATATATAACACAACTGAAAGGGAAATGGTAGTAAAGTGGAAATGTTACTGAACTATTAATTTAGAGGCCCAAGCTAATAAACTAGGGACATGGGTTAAAGTCCCAACACAACAGGGGCTGAAATATAAATTTAGTTAATAAATCTCAGCTTGAAAGTTGGTCCTAGTGATGTTGACTACAGTTTTCAAAAACCCATCTGGTTCATTAATGCCCTTTCCAGAAGGAAATCTACCATCCTTGTCTGGCCTACATGTAACTCCAGACTCACAACAATGTGTAAAACCCTCAATTACACAATGAAATTGTTTCGCAGACGATTCAGTTCCAGAGCAATTAGTGATGGGTATGTTCACATGAACTCTCTTGAAATGTCCAGAGCCTTCCTGAATGAGGCTTCCCCTTTTTTGATCAGTCACCCGTGAGTCAGTGAGCATTTCCTCTAGGAAGTCACCTGCCATTACCAAGTTCCAAGTCGAGCAGTTGCTTTGGAAACCTGGTATCAGGCATAAACTTTTCCTGCCTAGGCCTAACGAGGGTTCTATATGACTGTAATATTACTTCTGTCCCTTTATATTCCAGGCTCTTCAAATGAAAGCTTATATTCTATCATCCTTTTTGATTATATATTAAACTTGTCCTCTAGTCTTTAGTGTTAACACGGATCCATAATTTTTCTGTTCCTCCTCAGTACCTAGCTTCTCATTTTTAAAAAGATCACTGATTTATCTTTTTTACATCTAAGCTGCCTTTTCTCACACTGAACTCCACTTGCCGCAATGTTGCCTACTCACTTAATCAGTAATATTTCCATTGCAGCTTTCTGTTTCCACTTGCACTCCTTATTGTGCATCTAACATGATGTCATCAGAAAACTGGACAATAAAGCTTTCTCCTTCATCCAAGTAATTGCCAAAAATCATGAAAAACAGAGGCTGATACAAACTTCTGGAAAACACTACTTGTCACATTCTGCCAATTAGAATATGGACCCATTATCCATACTCTGAGCCCCACTTTGAAACTATTTCAAATGATTGCTTCCAACTCCATGCACTTTCATTTTTTGTCAACAGTGTTTCTGTTGTGCTATTTTTAATTGATTCTGGAGTCCCAGATAAATCACATCCATAAGTAGGCCCTTATCTAATGCCTTTGTAACCAACTTAAAAAAAAAACTAGGTTTAAAAGGCTTGACTTGTCTCTTATTCATACTGGCTTTCTCTGATCAGACTATCGGAACTGTTTATAAAGCAGTAATTAACAGACAGCATGGCCCATGCATGATGTAAATTTGAGGTATATTGTTATTAGGAATTTAGATTCTAAAGGAAAAGTAAATGGGTATTTGGTTTTACTTCCGTGAAGGAGGCCTGTACTTTTAATTAAACAAAGGTCAGGTGGTCATTTTGAGTGGAGGACTGCAGACTTTTTCCCCAAGTAACTTGAGTTAAATAAGCCAATCAGCTACTTAAGAGGTTAAATGCTTACTGCTTACAGAATCAAAAATTACATGACTCTAGATTATAGTTCAACAGGTTTATTTGAAAACACTAGCTTTTAGAGCTCAGCTCCTTCATCAGGCATAGTGTGGAAGAGGAGGTATACTGACAAAGAATTTATAAGCAGAAAGGTAAGGCTGACACCTCCTGTTGAATCTTTAATCAGTCAGAAAGAAGACACAGGTTTCTATTGATTAAGATGCAAATCCCAGAATTTCTTTCAAGTCATTGCCCCAAGATAATTAGAGGTTTTATCAGTGTATACAAGAGGTGCTATCTCAGGTCATACAATGCATTTTAGGTGGAAGGCCTTGTTTAGAACCTGTCTGTGTTTTAACCTGGAGTTAGGCTGGTTTTATTTTTTTGAACAAAATAGAATGTATCTGCAAATACACAAACACCTTGGACGAAATAATTCACCCTGTAGATTTATATGTATGTCTGTGTATGTGTGCCTGCACGCGCTCGAGAGAGTGTGAGAGAGTGTATGTATGTGTGTATGTGCGCGTGAGAGAAACAATGCGTGTGTAAGACAAGATCTGCATGAGTTTGCTAGTGTGCGAGTGTGTTTGTGTGAGACAGCATGTGTGTATGTGTGCGAGCCTGTGTGCGAGAGTATATAGTGTGGTGGGGTCACCTGTAATGCGACATGAACCCAAGATCACAGTTGGGGCCATCCTCATGAGTACGGAACTTGGATATCAGCCTCTACTCATCGATTTTGCGTGGTTGTATATTTTAAAGTCCGACTTGAAGGACGCTTATCTGAAGGTTGGAGGCTGAATGCCCTTGACTGCTAAAAAGTGTTCCTCCGCTGGGAGGGAACACCCCTGTCTGGCAATTGTTGCGCAGTGTCCATTAATCCGCTGTTGTAGCGTCTGCATGGCCTCGGCAATCCTTGCCTGCAGCATATGAGATAGACAATGTTGGCCGAGTCACATGAGTATCATACACTCCCTCACACACATACACTCACGCACTGTCTGCACGCACACGCCCACACACACACACACACACGCCCACACACACACACACACACACACACAAATCTATGAAAATATTTATGTATTTGAAGATACATTCTATTTTATTCAAAAAATTAAACCAGCCTAACTCCAGGTTAAAACACAGACAGATTCTAAACAAGGGCTCACACCTAAAATGCATTGTCTGACCTGATTGTCACCTCTTATATACACTGATAAAACCTCTAATTATCTAAGGGCAATGACTTGAAAGACATTCTGGGATTTGCATTTAATTACTAGAAACCTGCGTCTCTTTTCTGATTAAAGATTCAACAGGAGGCAGTCAGCGAGCCATTTTTAGGGTCGTTACCTTTCTGTTTATTAATTCTGCGTTGGTATACCTCCTCTTCCACACTGAACTGAGGAAGGAACTGAGCTCTGAAAGCTAGTGTTTTCAAATAAACCTGTTGGACTATAACTTGGTATTGTGTGATTTTTGACATTGTCTACTCCAGTCCAACACCGGCACCTCCACATACAGAAACAGATGATCAGGAGCCATCTGGTAGGCTGCGTTCAGAAGAAGAGAAGCCATACTAGAAGAAGGCCAGTTTGTGAGTATGTAAAGGTTTCCAGGCTCTGGCAGTTAGTAGAAATTTCAGAATTAGCTAGTAGTGCAGGTTACCAGAGCTGGAAAGAAATCTTTAGGCATCAGAGCTGAAAAAAAGTACTAAACTGCTTCAGCAGTCCCAGGAGGAGGGCTGGAAAGAGTTATTTGTAAGGAATTGACAAGTTAACATAGGAGTGTTGCCCAAAAGGAGTCCTCAACTTTCTCCCAGATGTTCTTTCCTTGTATGACAGACACAAGACAGGAAGTTGACTCAGATTTTAATTAAACAAACCCTTCATTATTTTAACCCTTTAGGTACCAAGATTCCATATAAAACATACATTCATTGCAACACTTAGTTCTTACTTCATCTAACTTAACTTCAACTTTAACTCATTTCATTTAACTTTACCTTATTGTAATTTATTGACATTTAACTCAAACTCTAACTCTGTAAATTTGGTTGGAAACAAATACTAACCCAATTTGAGTGATGTCACCAACTGTGCTCTCAGTATAGATCTTGCCTGGGTTTTTTGACTTCCTGAAAATCACTTCAGGGCACATGCTTCTCAAATGTCAGTCTCAAAGACTCAACCCTACAAAAATCCTTTATTCTGCTAACTTATGATGATAATGAGATCAGCCTTCTAGAAACTGCTCTGGTACTCAGCCAATGAGATGACCACACCTGATCACATTGCTCGATCCCAGTCAATGGAGTTTACTGGTAAACAACTCCGTAATGTGTTTCCTCCAGCTCCACACTGTGTTATCTCTGACTCCAGCATTTGCAGTTCTTGCTATCACCCAAATGATATACAATCATAAACTGCCACATTCCGTTTTCCATATAAGATAATATGGTTCCAACATGTCTAGCAGACCACCATAAGACCTCCTATATTTGGCTAACACAGGAAACTACAGGTGACACCTTACAGGACAAATCACAACATGTCCAGGCTGCAGTTTTAAACTAGGTCAGAGTTTAAATGAACTTTATGATAGTTCCCAGCATGCTTGATTGTCGTACTTAACCAGTCTCATAGCCATTTCTCCTGCTGGCTACCTGACCACAGGAGTGAAACTTACTTGGAATTGAGAGACTGTAATGGGTATTGACGGGAAAAGGGTTGAACCTTTCTTTTTTGTTTTTAATGTTAAGATCTTTCTAAATTTCATTTATATATATAGCTTTTTATCCTTTTGCATAACAACTGGTGTCCTTTCTTAAAAGAACATTGGCAACCTCATGTGAATGTCTTTGAAGTGACTGATAAGCATGATAACCAAATGACAAAAATAAAATTTATGATCTATCAAACTACGTTTCTGTGATCTGACCTAACCAGTATTTCAGATCATAACACTTATAAAAATTCTAAAATACTGTATGAATAAATCAATGCATAATTTTAATTATTTTACGTTTAAGCTTTGGAAAAAAAGGAAAGAAAGTTTACTGTTTGCATTCTTTTACAGATTGTCCTTAAATGATGACCAAATGAACATTTGTTCCAAAATTGTCTCTACCTTTCAGAAACATTTTCAACAGTTATATTTTCATCATACCTGGGCTGTGCGTGAATTTTTCCACCACCTCCATGTTGGGTCATGAACTGGATCTGCATATGGCTAAAAAAAAAACATGAGCTAAATCTTTAGCAACAAAATCATAATCTGTTAACTCTTTAAAGTTATTTATTGTGTAACATAAAACAGTTCTGCTCCAAAATCCTAAGGGGTTTTTCTGAAGAAGGGTCTGGGCCCGAAACGTCAGCCTTCTTGCTCCTCTGATGCTGCTTGGCCTGCTGTGTTTATCCAGCTCTACACCTTGTTATCTCAGATTCTCCAGAATCTGCAGTTCCTACTATCTCTAGATCCCAATTATCCTCTCCCACCTCGAGAAACTAAATAGTGTCAAATCCTGACAACAAAACAAAGCAGTTACGAATGCTATGGCTCACTGCTTACTTTTCTGAGTTTTGATCAAACTGAACCACCAGTAATATTTCCCTACAAGCATGGACACCATCCTCTTCCATCCTTACTCCACCAGACTCACATTATCATGGCTGCTTTCAGATCAACTCACACCACTTCAGCTTTTCAAGTCACATTGGCCACAGGGACAAACTGCATCTTACACAGGATAAATCTAATGTCTCTTAGCTTACTTTCTTAGCATTCCCCCTCTTCAAGCTGACTAGGACACTTCCAAATCTGGCTGGAATTCAATTTTAGCATAGCCTCTTTAGTCCTAATTTAAAGGCTGCAAACCTCTGTCTCTTGCACTGCCTTTCAGAACAAAGGGAAAAGCAGGCAACTTGGCAATGTCCAGTGCATTGAACACGAAGGAGATGAATATATTGCTTTATGGCATTGTGCAACATCAATGTCATACCTGCAGTATGTGCCAGCATCTTAGGCAACAACCACACTGTTTGGATTTCAACCCAAATGGCCATATATGAAGGTCATAAGGAGTGTAATCCATAAGGGAATGAATGGTTAGCTTTGGGGGTGCCACCACAGTTAGTCAACGGACTAAATGAATGTCAGTCCAGAGGTTTGGCCACAGTTGGTCAGTTACATGGTCCTATCAGACTCAGTATTCTTGCAGTCTGGAGATTAAGACACAGTCAGTCCTGCAAATTGAGCGCAACAATTTCAGAAATCATGGGTGTCTCAATCAGGCTGTTATGGAAACAAATCATCTGGAAGCTGCACTGTGCTAAGCTATGATGTCATGTCAAGTCAGTCCAAGGGGTAGATCATTGTCAGAAATATAAACATTGAGTAGACTAGGGTGACACAGTGGATCAGTGGTTAGCTCTGCTACCACACAGTGCCAGTCGCCTGGATTTGATTCCAGCCTTGGTTGAGTGTCTATGCGGCTTTCCTCTGCGCGCTCTGGTTTCCTTCTATATGCAAAAATGTACAGGTTAGGTGGATTGGCCATGCTAAATTGCCTATAGTGTCTAGGGATGTGTAAGTTAGGTGGATTTGCCATGGGAAATGCAGGGATAGGGTTGGGTTGTGAGTTTGGGTGGGATGCTCTTTGGAAGGTGGTATGGACTCAGTGGGCTAAATGGCCTGCTTCCACACTTATGATTCTTATCACAAGGCAATCTTTGCAGTCCTGGAAAAAGTGGGAAGCTCGAGTCTGGGGTTGGGGCTCACTGGACAGGGTTACTGATGGAGCAATTCAAGATAAATGGGTGGGATCTCATACAGTACATTTCTGTATTGTCATCTAATTTCTAACGAGGCTGGATTTCATTGAAAAAAATCTTTGATTGCAGTAATTAACAATAAAAAATGGCCTCAAACAATCATGACTGTTATATTTTTTACATCAATTGGACCCATCATGTCAGATACACAATGCATTGCAGACTCAAACTTAAAAGGATCACCTGGCTTTACCATTTATGCATCACTTCTCATACATGACACTGGAAGACAATACTTTGGAGCTACTACATTTGCACACTGAACTGTAATTATTATAGGACACAGTCCGTGATGTTCAAGGCTGACTCTTTTTTGGAAAAGTTGCTTTTACAGTGAATACATGCTTTAATTTCAATCCCCAATGTACTATTAGCACTTTGGATCGGCAACGTACATCTGATACAGTTGTAAACCTCAGAACTCCATACTGAGGCATGACATTTGCTTCCATGTGAAGCCATGTCAAGGCATAAGATGGTACTTCATTGGGACTAATGTGAGGGATCAGGAATACAGGTACTGGTATGACAAACAAATCAGAAGGAATCGGTTAACTCAATTGGCTGGATGGATAGTTTGCAATACGGAATGATGTCAACAATGTGCGTTCAATTCCTGTACCAACAGAGGACAGCATGAAGGCCCTGCCTTCTCAATCTCACCCTTGTCTAAGGTGTGGTGACTCACAAGTTAAATCACCGTTAATTGTCTCTGGAAGTTTTTGTGCTTGGCACTAACAGCTAGGGAAGCGATTGCTGGGCCCCTTGCTGAGATACTTGTATCATTGAAGCCACAGGTGAGGTGCCGGAAGACTGGAGGTTAGCTGACATGGTGCTACTATTTAAGAAAGATAGTGAAGAAAAGTCAGGGAAATATAGACCGGTAAGCCTGACATCAGTGGTCGGCAAGTTATTGGAGAGGATCCTGAGGGACAGGATTTACACATATTTGGAAAAGCAAGGACAGATTAGGGATAGTCAACATGGCTTTGTACATGGGAAATCATGTCTCATGAACCTGATTGAGTCTTTTGAAAAAGTAACAAAGAGGATAGAGATGAAGGCAGAGAGGTGGAAGTGATCTATGTGGACTTCAGTAAGACATTCGACAAAGTTCTGCATGGTAGACTGGTTAATAAGATTAGATCACATGGCACACAGGAAGAACTATCCATTTGGATACAGAACTGGCTCAAAGGTGGGAAACCGAGGATGGTGGTGAAGGGCTGCTTTTCAGACTGGAGGACTGTGACTAGTGGTGTGCCACATGGATTGGTGCTGGATCCACAGCTTTTCATCATTTATATAAATAATTTGGATGTGAACATAGGAGGTAGAGTTGTAAGTTTGCAGATGACACCATAATTGGTGGTGTACTGGACAGCAAAGAAGGTTACCTCAGAGTACAATGGGACTTGATCAGATGGGCCAAGGGGTGGAAGATGGAGTTTAATATAGGTAAATGTGAGGTGCTGCATTTTGGAAAAGCGAATCAGGGCACGGTTTATACACTTAATGGTAAGGTCGTGGGGAGTGCTGATGAACAAAGAGACCTTGGGGTGCAGGTTCATAGTTGCTTGAAAGTGGAATCGCAGGTAGACAGGATACAGGTAGTTCTGCTATAACACATGTTTCGTTAACGCAAATTGGCTATAACGTGATTGATGAATAGTGGATGCCGTTTGGATAACGCAAACTTTCTGCTGTACAGGTATAGTGATTTTCTATAGCAATTTCCATAGAACGTGATTTTTCTTGATGATTTTCTACAGCATGATTTTCTATAGCACGAAGTTACGCAAGAACACAACTATCGTGTTACAGGAGAACTACCTGTAGTGAAGGTGTTCGGTACGCTTGCCTTTATTGGTTAGTGCACTGAGTAAAGGAGTTGGGAGGTCATGTTGCAGCTGTACAAGACACTGGTTATGCCACTTTTGGAATACTGTGTTCAATTCTGATCTCCCTGCTATAGGAAGGATGTTGTGAAAATTGAGAGGGTTCAGAAAAGATTTATAAGCATGTTGCCAGGGTTGGAGGGTTAACTATAGGGAGAGGCCCAATAGATTATTTTCGCTGGAGCGTCAGATGCTGAGGGGTAACCTTATAGAGGTTTATAAAATCATGAGGGACATGAATAGGGTGAATCAACAAGGTCTTTTCCCAGAGGTAATGGAGTCAAAAAATAGAGAGCAGAAGTTTAAGGTGAGAGGGGAAAGATTTAAAAAGGGACCTAAGGGGCAACTCTTTCACGCATAGGGTGGTGCGTGTATGGAGTGAATTGTCAGAGGAAGTGGTGGAGGCTAGTACAATTACAATATTTAAAAGGCATCTGGATGGATACACGAATAGGAAGGATTTGGAGGGATATGGGCCAAATTTTAGCAAATGGAACTATATTAATTTGTGATTTCTAGTTGGCATGGACGAGTTGGATTGAAGGGTACATGTCCATGCTGTACATCTCTATGACTTTATAACATTGTAATTGATGTGCTATTTGACACTTTGGTAATGTGCCAGGCCTCAAGGTATTCTCCAACCAAAAGTTTTGTCTCAGACGTGTGAGCTGATAATCTGTAGGAAATGGTTTGTTCACAGTACATGTGGACTTAGTTACTTTTGCACTCCTGAACATTTCAGTTGATGAATAAATGTTTCTGAATGTATGTATGGTATCTGCAGCTAATTCCATCTTATGTGGTGGACATTCACAGGTTCTTCTCACCATTGGTGACAAAGCAGCAGTCACTGAAAAAAGGCAGAAACATGACATGACACTGAAGTTAGGCAGCTTTTAAGGCTTCAGTCAGCATATGTTATCCAAGTCTTGTGCAGTGCAGTCCCTTATGATTGGCAGCAGATTGGAAGCAATCCTGAGGCACTTCCTTTTCATGCTTCTATCATTGCTTCACCTTTAACATTTCTGAATTTGTGCAGACTGCTTTTGAATTGTTTGAGTATCCTATATGGTAGCAGTTAACCCGAGAGGAACAGAGTTTTACGCAGCTTCCAAAGTGTAATGAGCTAGGATTTAAATACGGTGCCAGCAGAATGAACATCACAAGGTTCTAGCAGCAGAAACTTCCGCCTCTCATGTTGCACTATTCCATGAGCTGAGAGCCATAGAGACCAGTTGGATAATGTTTTGGAAGATTATTAGTGTCATCTTTTAATCTAATACTATCCTTAATCTCCTATATAAACTTCAGATGGGTCATTCCTGCTGAGGTTTTTTTAATGAAATGTATTTTGTTGAACATTTTGAATTATTTGTTTAAATGTTTCACACTGTTTATTTACCACCATAACTTTTCATCTATTTACTCAATCAAATTTAGCCAGCTCTCTCCTCATAACTTTATAAGTGGCTTTAAGGTTGATTTTCTTGTTTATGAT